AAAAAAAAAAAATAAAAGAAAGAAAGAAAGAAAAGGAAAGAAAGGAAAAGAAAAGAAAAATAGACACACAGAAGGAAGACAGCCACATGACAACAGAGACAGAGACTGCAATGATTCATCTCCAAGCCAAGGATGGCTGGCAATCACAAGAAACCAGGAAGGGCAAGAGGGATCCTTCTCTGGAGCCTTCAGAGGCCGCATGGCCCTGTCAACATCTTGCTTTTGGACTTCTGGACTCCAGCACTATGAGAGAATAAATTTCTATTGTTTAAAGTAAGCCAGTTCATGGTACCAGGAAATGAATGTGCTAGAGTATTTCATATCTCCAGGAAGGGGCAAATAGGGAACCAGAGTAGCTCTTTTGTCTGTCTAAGGTTCTGTGGTCTCATCTGTGAACCCCTGCACATTTTCCTCCTCTCTACTTTCTTTGCACATGAGCTTGCAACAGAGTAGCCACTCCTCTTCCCATAGATATGGAAGTGTAAAAATGAGAGTGGGGAATACGAAAAATGAGAGAGAGAAAATGGCCTGAAAATACCAGCAAAATGTTTTCTGTCTCTTTAAAATTATTTTGGAAACAGAGACCTGTATCCCTGCTCTCAAGGTGATAGGGGAAAGGAAATGTCTTTGTTCTTTGCACTACAGAAGATGGACCTGGAGGCCACGTGCCTGGCTGGCAGAGGTGTGGAGATCCCCCAGCTGGGCGGAGGTCAAGGTTTTAGCTTCAGCAGAGATGGGCCAGACGTGGGAGGATAAGAATCATCAACTCTGTCTCAACAACAACAAATCTCAAAAAAAAAAAAAAAAAAAAATTAAAACTGCAGTTGAATGACGACAGGTGGTCCTTTACACCTGCTTATGGTCAGGAAAATTTGGTATTTTGAGACCGTCTGCCATTTTTCCTCCTTTGCCGGCAAAGTAATAAATTTCCCTTTCCTTCTTCTTAAAAACCACTTGTTCTTGTTTTTTTACATGTGGTCTCAAGAACAAGTACCGAACTTTCGGTAACAGGCTTCTGTTTAATTCTCTTTCACAGTTTCCAATTCCTGGCAAATACAGTCTCCGTGGCCAGATCCACCCACATTCTTGGAGAAGAAATCTGATTGACCCAGCTTGAGTCACGTGCTCACTGTAACCCAATCAGCCAGGCCTAAGGAATTACATCACCTGGTGCCAAGCCAAGATTGCTATTCAAAAGAGGCAACAAATCTGGAGCCAGACGCGACCAATCAGATTTGCGGCTGGGCCCTGGACCTGAATTCTGGCGGCTCCCAGAATTTCGGTTATGGCTTGTGTTAGCGATGAGAGCCAAAGCGTAACAGAATATCTGCATGGTAGGGAAATTATAGGGTTAGAAAAACTGGCCAGGTCTGGAATAGAGGGGGGCAGTAGTGTAGTGTCCTGGTAAGTTTTTAACGAGTAGCTCTGTAGAGGGAGATAACAATGGGTATGTGTGTGTGTTTCTTTTAAATTTTACTGGCAGAAATGATGGGTGTGTAGCCCACGATTTACAAATAATGATAAAATACTCTTCATTGCAAGTTCCACATAATCAATTGATTCTCACAAAATGTTTTCCTTAACTTTTCCCAAATTTTGACAAAAGAATGTGCGTTGATATATTCCTCCAAAATAAAGAATAAGATGTGTGCTGTCCCTTCACTTGCTTGCCAATGAAGTGAGAGATTTCTTTGCTGAATCAGATAATTGTTCTAAAACACTTGAGTGTTTCCTTGATTATTGGTGCTATTAGTGGCTGGCATACAATAAATGCTCAATACATATTGGTTATTTAAGTTTATAAATATTTTATTATCCATGTGCAGTCCCACACTGTGCCACAAGATCCATTTATGCCAGATGTCATACTATCACAACTGTGACCTCAACACTTAAAACAGTGCCAGATACACAGCAGACGTTTAATAATACCAGTCTGAGGGATGAATGGAGCTTTCTCCCTACAGACTTACAAGGCCCCCAAAGCACGCTTCTGTGAATCATATTGGGGAGGAGGTACCTGAGGATTTCACATATTAACATAAATAAGATTTGTAGGCTCTGTGTTGTTTTCAGATTTCCCTCTAGCACCTGCACCATGCTGGTACATAGGAGATGCTCAATAAATACAAATATAATCCTACGAATTACTATAAAGTATAAATCCCAGCTCAGGAAACTGAGGCTGAAGGATTGCCTGGGCCAGCCTGGGCAACACAGTAAAACTTCTCTAAAAATAAAAGAGAGAGAGAGAAGCCCATTCTTCAAAGTCATGACCTTCTTTAAAAACATATGCACATTTTTTGTGTACATATCATATATATATAATACATTGTCTGAGCTCAGGCTCAGAACACACACATATATATATATAATTATATATATATATCATTTTTTTGAGATAGAGTCTCAAACTGTCGCCCTGGGTAGAGTGCTATGGCAACACTCTTGGGCTCAAGAGATCCTCTCACCTCAGTTTTTCTAGTTTTTAGTAGAGAAGGGGTCTCACTTTTGCTCAGGCTGGTCTCCCAAAGTGCTAGGATTACAGGCGTGAGCCAATGCGCCCAGTCTCAGGCTCAGAATAAATACCAAGAGCAGGAGTGGGTGGGAGAGAGTCCTGGAGGACGTGTGAGCAGCAGGGACCCTTGCCCAGCCCCTTGAGGTAGAGCAGCCTGTCTCTGTCAAGGCGGGCAGCACTCAGGCTGGGTATCACGTGGGCCTCGGCGAGCGGAGTCTTGATCAGACCTGGGTGGTCACCCGGAAGAGGCCCAAGACCGTTGCGCCCTGGTCGAGCTGCCAGTCTTGGTGAGCTACGGCGTGCATGTGGACGCCCAGGCGCTGGCCGAGCTCCAGGTGCAATAAGCGGCCTTGGAAACCAAAGGCCTCGGAGGACTGGGGTGACAGGTCCACAGTCAATGCCAGGGCAGCTACCGCGCCGTCGCGCAGCGGCTGCAGGTGCAGAGCAAGGGAGACCGAGCCGGAGCTGTTCTCATCCACAACGCGCCGCAGTCCCACTTTCAAGAAGACATAGTAGACGCCTGCTTCATCTACCACCAGCTCCCGCTTGTCCTTATCATAGGTCAGGCCCGGCGCCAGGGACACGCCCGCCAGGCCCGGGTCGCTGTACCAGTTTAGGAGCCGGTCAGACAGCAGAACTGCGGGAGGGAGAGGTAGGCGCTGAGGACCTCCGCGCGTCCCGGGGAAGGGGCGGGGGCCTTGAACCGAGCGGGGGCGAGCAGCAGAACTGCGGGAGGGAGAGGTAGGCGCTGAGGACCTCCGCGCGTCCCGGGGAAGGGGCGGGGGCCTTGAACGGGGCGGGGGCGAGCAGCAGAACTGCCAGAGAGAGGTAAGCGCTGAGGACAGCGGTGCGCCCTGGGGAGGGGAGGCGAAAGTGGGGAGTGAGGAGGGACCGGGGGAGGGAAGGAAGGGATGAAATCGAGGAAGAGAAGACCAAGTCAGTTGGAAAAGGGGCAGGACCCCAAGAAGGAGGGCAGGAAAGGGGTGAGAGCCCAAGACGGGTGGGCTGGGCTAGTGAGAATCTTCTGGGAGCAGTAAAAGAGGAGGGAAGGCGGGTGTGCTTCTCCCAGAGCCAGCTTACAAGAGAGAGACAACCAGGCTGGGCTCCGGGCGTGGCAAACCCGGGGTCTGAGAGGGCAGGAGAGCCTCAAGTGGGCACAGGCATGGAGGCAATGGCATCCAGAGAGTCAGAGGGAAGTCAGGAAAAGTGGTCGAGGCCATTCAAAGAGAAGTGGCAGCTTTCAGAAGGGGGCCGGGTTAGGGAGTGAGAGGGCTCTTCCCAGCTCAGAGCCTGCCTCTGCCCGGACTCCTGCTTCCTGGTGCCCACCCACCCACCCACACCCCCACCAGGAGGAGGCAGGGGAAAGTGGTGCAGAATACTCACCATCTTCGGCCACCAGCTGTGCGAAGGGAAGAACGCCCTGCTAAAGAGGAAAGGAGAAAGGTAAATGGAGGCTCCCCCAGAAAGTGGAGCTTCTGCGCCCACCTACTCTGGCCATCGGGGTCCGCGAAGGCCTGAGCAGACCCAGAGCCTGTGCGCTCCTTCACCCTCCAAAAGAACACGCGCGCACGCGAGAAGTTGGTGGCTCAACTTGCCGGAAAGACAGAACCGTCCAAAAACTCAGAGAGGGAAAGAGAAGAAACACATCGGTCGGCGGGTGGGAATCCCCTGAAGGTCTCGGGAGGGAAAAGAGGGGATGGGGTGGGTAGCCCAAGGCTCCAAGAGAAAAAACTAGGCTCTGTGGTAGTTAGTCAGAGAGTGGGGCTGTCCTCAGTAGTCCCAGATAAAGTGGTACCCCTCCGGTCTGGGACCTACAAAGGCTTCCCCTCTGGGACTGGGGTTCAGATAGGGATTCCCAGGGATGCGGGATGAGAGGGGGTGGCCCCCTCAGTTCCAGATGAAGCCGGGAACCCCTCGGCGTCCAGTGAAGAAATGTGGGAGTCTCCTCCCGCCTGCGAACTGAAAAGGGATGCCCCCCAGTGCTAGAAGGAGAAAAAGAGCCCGGGGGGGGGTCTGAGAGGGACAATTGGGTCTCCTTTCTCCTGCCTGGGGTGTAGAAGAGGTGTCCTCTCTTCTGGGGTGTGCTATAGAGGAGGGGGCGTCCTAGAGGGCCCGCGGCAGGGGTCTCCCCGAAGGCTGTAGTCAGGGCGCGTCTCACCTGCTTCGGGCCACGGATGGCGCCAGTATCCGGCGGGAGCTCGCGGACCCCGCCGGGTCTCGGGGCATGGGCGACCCAGGCGGCTCCAGCGGCTGCAGCGGCGAGTAGTAGCAGCGCGACGCCCAGTGCCCAGGGCCCAGGGCGGCAGGCGCGGGGCGCGGGCGACCACGGGGCTTCGGGGTCCCGGACGGCGTCAGAGCTGGAGCTCATGGCAGGAGACCGGAGACTGCTGCCCTGGTCGCGCGCGGCGCTTTATTCGTACCGGAAACCTGGCTTTCCGGGACGGCCCGCGGGGATCCCGGCGACGCTAGCGCCCCGCCTTCCGCTTTCCTTAACTTTCTCCTCTATCTTTTGGCTTCCTCTCCTGGGCCTTCCAGACTCTACCGCTGTTTCCTCTTTCTTCCTGTGTCTCTGTCGCCCAGGTTCGTTCGTTCTCTCTCTCTCTCTCTCTCTCTCTC